TAATAATACAAAACCTCATTATGAATGTACTTAATAAATTATACAATGCATACATACCAGAAGTAGACTCAACTTCTTGTACTTTTTGATTAGAGTCATCAGTTACTGATTCTATTACGAATATAAAACTTTATGCAACACAATTACAGTCACACATACCTTGAGATAGTCCAGTATTTATTGGTGAGGCAGTATTCTCACTAGTCTCTCCTGCTCCATTACCACTATCATTATGTGTGTCATCAGTTGATCCTATTATTGTACATTATTAATAATAAAACACTATTTCCATCAAACATGTACCTTCAGGTGGTGTCTCATAACCTTCCTCACTCTCACTGTCACTAGGTGTGTCTCCATTACTCATCTCAGCTACAATACCCATACAACAGAACTGCTCACGCTTTATTGATCCGTATCTTTTCCCAACTCTAAAACATCCTCCTTCAACTATACTGAACTGGTAAGGAGACTTCAGTGGAGCTCTCACAAACTTGAGGCAACCAGTCTGACTAGCATTCCTTAGATCCACACAATGTTGTAGCTCTATTACTAGTGGTTTTGATAGTGCCTTAGATACTGATATTGCATATACTGCACTCACTAGCACAGTACCTTTGGGTACCTTGAAATTACCTCCAGCTAGTGCAGTAACAGCTACTTCAGTATCCTTGGACACTGCTCCTTGAGGACACTTTAATCTGAATCCATATTTCTCCCACTGGAGTGAGTGAGACCTGTCTCCTTGTAGGATAAAGAGCTTCTGTCCAGCTATAATGACACTAGAGTCTAGTGAATCTGAAACAATACAGACACATCATATCTAATACCAGTATAGTACACACACAATCATTCAAATGTGTATACATGTACATGTACATGAATAATTTACCCATTGAAGGGATCAGGTAATTAAATTGTAGTCCAATGGAACTAGTCTCTTTGATAGGTTGCTTGAGGACCCTCTCTTGTCTTTCCTTCACTAGTTTGGCTATGTACAACTCCTTTTCTTTAAGGTTTATAAATTAATAGAATATTAATAATTATTATTGATTGATGATGATACACTAACCAGTAATGATCTGTTTCTCATTCTGTGATTGTTCCTCTACTTGTGATGTCAGTTTGGCTATAACTTTGTCTTTCTCAGAAATGAGATTTTGATTGTCGTCTACACAATAAACATATTCTCTCATCTAATACATGCTGTGTGTATAGTTAACTAACCAATAATGATCTGTTTCTCCTTGAGATATTGTTCCTCCATATCAGCTACTTTGAGTTTAAGTTTCTCATAATCTTCTACATTAATAGAATATTCTATCATCTAATATTATGTACTGATGATACACTAACCAGTAATAATCTGTTTCTTCTCCTCTACTTGTGTCTTCTCTTCAAATATTTCAGCAACTTTAATTTTAAGCTTCTCATTATATTCTATTATCAATAAAAATACAGAAATAGAAAATTAAATGATATTTGTAGCTTATACAAATTTGCACTGCATGTACAGTAGCCCATAAATACATGTACTATGATTATTGCTAATGATACAATATATGGTAAGCAGAGCTCACTCTACATCAATCTCATTATTTCTAATGCATGGACAATTTGACCTATATTGAGTACAGGATACCGTAAAGCGGGTATATTTCGTCTGGAAAAATGTTCGTTGTAAGCAGGATTAGAAATTTCCGTTCGTTTTGTTTTTGTTCTGAGCAGCCATTTTGCACACGTGGCATTGAGGAAATGCCCTTTTCATTTGGAAAATTTTCGTTCCACAAGGAATGAGAACGAAAACAATGAAATTAAACTCAGACGGAATATACCCGCTATACGGTAGTATTTCCATACTCAACATTCTCTAATCCACTAGTATTATAATGTAAATAATGTACACATAAACAACAGTACAACACAATAGTACCTAATTCAACAGTTGATTTATCTTTTTCTGCTTGCTCAAGGAGAGTGGTAGCATCATCAAGTTGCTGACTAAGTGTTGCCTTTTCTTGAAGAAGCTGTTGCTGCTCTTTGTCTCGATCTTGCTGTATCTGCTCCTTCTCTTTTATTTCTCTTTGAAGCTGTTCCTGATAGCGGAATTCCTTCTCTTTTTGTAATTGCAGGCGATCTTGAAATATTTGAATCTGTTTCTCAAAATTCTCCCAATCACTCAGTATCCTTCTTCTTAGTTGATCTTGATACTGGTCCAGAGGTATTACACTAATAGACCAATCATTATCACTAGTATATCCTATACAGTAACAAAATAGTGGAGAATAAGAAATACACAAAATAATTACACTTAGTTACTATGGTAACCTTATTATGTGTGACCTCTGTCAGTTTACACAGTTAACCACATGATCATATTATTGTATATGAATACACTGATAATAATATTTAATTCCTTCTAGCTCCTATTAATATCAGTATTTCTGTATCTGCAGTCATTATATTTCACTATTGTACATAGCAGGAATGAATTGGTAATAATTAGTATCATAGGTATACGTCAAATGCTCTCATTAAATATTCATCATAAGAATTACTTACTTTATTGTAATATTATCATTACTAATTATCATTACATATTCAATACACATTGTATCTACTACTGTCTACATGTACTTACTGAGTTCAATAACTGCTGTATCACTTATTGTTGAATAGTCTGATCTATTTCCTCCAAACTCAATTATCCAGTTAGTAGTTGGGGTCACACTCCACAATGAGAGAGAATTCCAGTATCTCCTAGTGACATTGACTGGGAGATTAATCTATAAAATAAAATGATAATAATTAATTTGTGTATGACATATTAATTGATTTGATATCTGGTTAATAAACACAATAACTAACTCACAGTTTTATAGTCTGCACAGTGTGTTTTATGTAACACAAAGATCACATAATAAAATTAATAATACACAATATATTAATAGACAAGTATACACAACTGAGTCTGTTATTATATCATGTGAGTCCTCAATTAAGAACTTACTAAGTGTCTGCATGTACACACATACACATACACATACTAATGACACACTAACACACATACATCTACATCTATACATGCATACACATATAAAGCTACATGTAAAGCATGCATAATTGCTCACACACATACACACACATGTACATGTTACATGTACACATGATGTACGTGTTAGTACACATATACACATATTAAAACATATGCACACATACACACAAATACATGTATGTACATACACAATCTACACAATGTATATAAAATACAATTTATTTTAATTCCAGCATTGACACTCTATCAATTGTGAATCCATCTTTACACACACACACACACATGTATATTCACACATATTTAGGTAAAGAAATAAACACAAAACACAAAAAGACACTAACACACATTCACACTAAAAAACAGACACAGACACTCATACTGAATACCAGCATTATTCATCAGTAGTTTTCACTGAGTATCATAATATGTACACGTACATTACAAACCTCA